GGTGGTGGTTGGGTGGTAATGGTGGTGGGTGGTGATGGTGGTGGTGATTGGTGGTGGTGGTTGTGACATCCCCATTTTCACGGTCAGAAAAGACCGATTTTGTTTATGCTTTGTTTGAAAATCAGAGTAACATTTTAAATAAAAGTGTTGCAGAATTTGTTCTCAGAAAAATATGATAAATACGTTATCAAAGCATTTCCAAAAGAAACGTATTTTTATTCATTTTAAAACATTTGGGATGTCATCGTCAATACAGAAACATAAGCATAAACAAAACTTACATTCATTATCACTAGTGATTTATATCCCCTTAATCTCTCAGTGTAATGTAACTTCATATCGACACCTGTGATACAAATAAGCTTGAGTGGGTCAGGTTGGGAAACCTGGTGAGTACATAGGGTTTTCAACCTACAATAATATAATTATTATGTTTAAACATCAAACAATCAACCCAATTACCCATCCCCATTATCTTCCTTATTCTTAAGGGTCTACCCTAAGAGTCATCTATCCTGCATTCGTTCATTCCGAATTCCCTTGCTTCCAGGGTTTATAAGACAGGCACTAAGTCCATAGCTGCCAATGCTCGTTCGTAAATCACTAATTCCATAGCTGCTAAAGTTCATTCATCGGGTACTAAATCCATAGCTACCAGTGTGTATCTAATATGTACTAAGTCCATAGCTACCAACGTTTATCTAACAGGTACTAAGTCCATAGCTACCAGCGTTTATCTATCAGGTACTAAGTCAATAGCTACCGGCGTTTATTCAATTGGCACTAAGTCCATAGCTGCCGATGTTATTTATTAGGCACTAAGTCTATAGCTGCCTATGTTCACTCATATCATCTTTCATCTCTCATCGTTCATACACCCATGTTTACCCAACATATTTGTAGATATAAAATACATATACAGTTTAAATCATTTAAAAGATGTATAAAAACGTTCATCCAGCATAGACAACAAGTATTCAGACAGTATACACACATAACACGTAATTTATATAAAATACTTCATATCTATGTGTAAGATGAAAGTAACTATGCACTCACTTGATAAGGTGGTGACTCGGTACTCGGACAGCGCTCCGTTTACTTTAAAATAATTTCCTTCGACAAAACCTAGTATTATTACCAATAGATTTTAGTCTAATATTTACCGTGACTAATTATTAGTCTTATTATTATTATTATTATTATTATTATTATTATTATATAAGCGTTTAAACAATATTTTCCAACCACTATGTACAGACACGGGCCAGACATAAAACACCGGAGGGCAGAATCATTTTGACATATAACACTTCTGAAATCCAACAACCCATGCGGCCCTTCAAACCGGATTCCTCGTACCGCGAGTGGTTAAAAAGTTATTATAACGACACTTATATAACCCATAATAATAACTCAAATAATTATTATAAGGTCCTAATAACGTTACTATATTTAAATAAAAGCTATATTAAAAATTAGGTAGACGTATCTTACCTACGAGGGGGGTTGACTAGAAGCCGTGCTCTGCAGGGGCAGAACTTCCGAGCCGAAAGCTCTTCTTCTCGGAGCCGTCGAGCGCTCCGGGGCTTTCTTTTAGCGCTAGGGGAGTTTTTGGGAGGTTTAGAGAGAGTGTAGAGATAAGAAAGAATGGGAAAGGTGTGAAGAAAATGAGGGTGAGAGAGGTTCTATTTATAAGGTAAAATATGGCTGAACTTGGTGCCACATGTCACCATCTGGTGGCAAGACTTGGGGAGAAAGCAATGACCAAGATTGTGCCACGTCACCCATTTTCGCACATCACACTTCCGACTTCTAAAATCCGTAACTTTCGCATACGAGCTCCGTTTTTGACGTTCTTTATATCCACGCGTAGGTAAAAATAAGATCTACAACTTTCAATTTGACTCCGTCGGCTAATTCTCGACCGATCTTAAATTTAACAGTAGGAGGAGATTATACTGTTAAATGACCGCGAAAAATTCGTAACTCTTTCATACGGACTACGTTTTCATCTTTTTTTTATCGTTGAATTCCTATTAATGAGATCTTCAAATCTCATTTAGGTCGCGTAGGCCAAAAACCGCTCGATCTAAAATTCGAGTTTCAGGCCGTGCATTGCTATGCCAAATCTTAGAAAATTCATAACTTCCTCATACGAAGTCAGATTTAGGCGTTCTTTTTATGCATGCTCTCGGTTTAACGTATACTACAACTTTTGTTTAGATCACTAAGGCTAAAAAGTCCTCTATTGTAAATTCACTATTTACGTCTCCCCGTGCCGTGCCGGTTTTTCCGTAAAACTTCGACATGCCATAACTTCTTCGTTATAACTCGGATTTCGGTGGTGGTGGAGGGTGGTATGTAGTGGTTGTGGGTGGTGGTGATGGACGGCGGAGGTGGGTGGTGGTAGCAGGTGGTGGTGGTTGGGTGGCGATAGTGGTGGGTGGTGATGGTGGTGGCGGGTGGTGGGTGGTGGTAGTGGGTGGTGGTGGTGGTGGGTAGTGATGGGTGGTGGTTAGTGATGAGTGGTGGGGGCGGGTGGTAGGTAGTGGTGGTGGGTGGTGTTGGTTGGGTGGTGAGTGGTGTTAGTTAGTGACTTTTTTAATTGTTTGTAACTATTTTTTGATTTATATGAATATTATTTTATAATTTTAATTAAAAAATTGTGTGGTCCAAATTTGTTCTCAAATGTTCTCGCGATATGAAATGTTCTCGATTGAACGCTCTTCTATATATATATATATATATATATATATATATATATATATATATATATATATATATATATATCTATTATATATTATAATATAAAAAGCACTAGGTGTGAGACCCATGTATTACATGAGTTTATTTATAAAAAAAACTAAATATAAAATTCTAAACATTTGAAAAGTATGAATTTATAAGAAAAGTGAGAAAATATTGAATTATAAAAATTAAAGTGTTTTTTTTCTCTTTTAAATTTAAACAAATAATTTAGATAAATAAATAAAGAAAATTAATGAATCTTTAATTTGATAATTTTGAAATTAGAAGGAAAGTTCATTAATGAAATTGATATTATTTATTATTGAATATAAATAGTATCTAGAATTTAATAAAATGAAAAAACCGTAAAATGACATGTGTAATAAACATTAATTTAAAATAACCACAAAATTACATGTGGCAAAATAAATGAGAATGTGACGTGTGGCAAAAGATATTTATTTATTAGGGAGGATTTAAGACTTTTTCTTGAAATTTAAGAGGTACCACACCAATTACATCATGTATAATCAATTTATGCTTACCATTCAATACACATATTGTGTTAAAAAAATGTATAAATTCAATTTATCGTTATTTAATTTTGTTAAATCTTAAAATAATTTTTTTTTGGAAACGGCACACGAATTAAGTGGAAGCCTACTCGTAATATTTCAACGAGCACCCCGGGTTCGAGCTCATTGACATGGCAAACCCAGCCCCCATATCTGGGAAAAATTCTCCATATATGGCATCACAAGAGGTAGTTTAAGGAAATCATTTGTTTGTTTTTTGTTAATATTTTCGTAACAAGGTCACTTTACGGAATTATATTATATTTTTTTTTACAAAAAACGTATTTTCTTTATAACAAAAAAACATATTTAATGTATTAAACCAAAAACACTGTTGTTGAAAGAAACTCAATCTTCAAACTGTCGAAATGAAAACTAATCGTCGCCTCTACATTTCAAATTGCGATGAAAATCAACAAATGTTAGGGAGAAACAAATTCAAATGTAGGTATTTATCTTTTAGAACTAGTATATTTACATGACCAATTTTTTGTTGCATTGTCTAGAGGGATCTCACATGACAGTATAAAAATGTTAGTGAAAACTAACGAAAAATTCAAAGGTGATGAAGTTGATACATCAAATATGGTGTAAAAGAAGTGTTTGCGATTAATAATGTATAATATGTCATGTGTTATTACATTGAAAGTTTCCCGAAACAAATTATCCGCAGACTTTTATATATATATATATATATATATATATATATATATATATATATATATATATATATAAGTTTCATTGTGGGTCTCATTTGTGTTTTAGTAAAAGCTACTGAGATTTGAACTATTAATTGTAATTACTTTATTATAATTATTTGTTTTTTAACGGGCCTTATTTTTGCTATCGCCTAGGGCCTCAAATTGGCGCTGCTTGAGATTTATAGCGGTTTTTCATGGATGTGGCGGTGGTTCAATGTTTGGTGTTGTGTTTATGAGGAAGAAGAAGAACACCCGGGGGGGGGGGGGAGGGGAGATGAGCCTATTTATTTTTAATACTTATTAAATATTAAAAAATTATTAAAAAAATAAAAGAAGGCTATAATAGTCTTTTCAATTTGAGGAGAGACTTTTTCCACATACAAACATTGTCAAAAAGACCACCAATTCAAAAAAGTTGTGGTTTACACCTAATACCAGAAAAATGCATACCACATGAATAATTTTTGCACTTTTGTTTTTTCAATATCTCGTGAAAACAATGGATGAGAAGTGAAAAAAGCTACATGCATTCTAACACAATTTCATATACCCCGACAACTTATGAACATTACTCCTCATAAGCCGGACAATTTCATTTTGAACGAAAAATCAAATCTACTTCCAAACTACTACTCCTTAATTCCACCTCTATCCATGATGAGACTGGAACCGTCGACATCAAAGAGGGAGGACAACACCTCGTTGAACTAGAAAAATTGACCACAGCCAACTTTTAATTAATCTATATATAATACAATAATAATAAAAAATAATAATAATGAATAGAAAAATATATGTTAAGTGCAAAAAAAAAAAAAATTCACAAACAAACTAGGTTAAATGGATCATATCCGTAATTTTAGAAAGCTCTAGACCAAATCCATAGAAATAAGCAAACACAGGGACCATTTTTGCAATGTTTTCTATGGTATATAGATTTTCTCCTGATGCGGTCAAACTTCTCTTTTAGTCGCTGCAATAAAGACTAGAGAGGTCCAATGCGCAGTCCTCAAATCCTCAATCACAAAGGCGAGAAGGGAGCGATGATACTGTAATAATATGCCATTAATCGAATCTTGGCCTCATCCTCATTGATATTTGAAATGGAAGACTCTTCGATGGATTCTGATCTTCCAAGGAGGCATCTGTTGGAAGCCGCTTCGAAGAAGTGGCGCAAGGAACGCTTCCGTCGTACCCGAAAATACGAAAGCCGATTTAGCGAAACTGAGGTTCTGATCGTTTTCTAAACACCCACTCACACACTCTCTCTCATATATAGATTCGTCTTTTTATGTTAAGTATATTGCTGCCACTTCTGACGGTCAAATTAATCGGACAAAAGTCGAAATCACAGTACAAAACTCTACCTAAATGGGTCAACACAAATCAAAAGTTTCGGCTTTGGCCGTACGAAAATTTAGTCCCCAAATCTCTATCTATGCTAAATCCTACTAACTAGTAATATTATCAAGAGCAAGTTACAAAAACGTACTATTTGGAACTGGGACAAAAACGTTACAAAAACTTTATTTAAGAATCAAAATTGCAAAAATTTGACCATACCCTGGGACCAATTTACTTTGTTGTTAATAAAAACCCATTCTAGTTGGGTTAGTAGACCTCAATTTTCCGTTCAACCATATAAATCTCATGTGTTCTTTATTTAACTGCCTTGTTGTGTGTATTGATCGTTTGCTGACAGGAGTGGCGTACAACCTTCTCCCTTGTCAAAACGCACCGCCGGCGCTTCCGTCATGAATCTGTCTTCGAAAAGCAAACTAATATCCTCGAAAAGCAATCTAATGTCATCGAAAAGGGATCTACTCTAGCAGACAGATTAATCAATATCAAGGTTCTAATTCTTTCCTAAATACACTCTTTGGCATGCCTATATAAAACTAAGTTATCACTATAAACATAGTCGAACATTAATAAAATCTGGAAGAAATTACTGAAATCGTTCCTGTATTTATTTTGCCAAAATTTCGCGTTCGGTCATTCTTTTTATTTTGCACTCGGGTATGTTTTCATTTTGTTAGGGTGCAAGGCCCTGGGAAATGACCCTTAATATTTTCTTTTTCGGTTTTTTTTTTTCAAGTGGGACCCACTTGCACCCTACTCCGTTTCCCACTCCGATCACTCCCACCACCGGTCACCAGCCACCATAAATCATCTCCAATTGCCACTAGCCTCTCACTTTCTATCTGTCATCTCCGGCTAATCATCGGTATACTGCGGTCGGACAACCGTCATTGGACCTCTGCGGCCATCTCTCTCTCCCTCCTTTTCTCTCTCTCAATTACTTTCTGTCTCTCTCTCTCTCGATCCGACTCTCTACCAGTAATCATCGGATGTAACGGTGGAGGCAGATGAGTGACAGTTAGTTGCTGGTGGTGGTAATGTTGGCGGAGTTATATTTACTGTACAGTTGTGATATAACATTTAGAATAGATTTTTTTACCTGAATGTTTGGATTATTGTTAACTTTGTTAACCTTTTTAATCTGTATTAGTATCTTATATAAAATAAGAAATTCTTTAAACATGTTTCAATGTAATTAACCTTTAACTTTTTTCCAGAAAAATGTTTAATTGACATTATACATTATAACTTCAAAATGATAAAAGTTATATATATATATATATATATATATATATATATATATATATATATATATTAAAGATGTTCAAAGTTAGGAATAGTAAAGTACTAAAGTAGCATGTTTTTTAACAATTTTGCCCCTTATTCTTTAGCCATTTTGACACTTTTGGTCCTTGCAATCAAAATTTTTACATTTTTTTGGAACCTTTTAATATTCAAAGTTTGGCCACAAAACTTTAAGGAATTGACAACTTTGGTCCCTTTTCTAAAAACTGGCTAATTCCAACCCCTTTAATTCTTTATCAATTTTGACACTTTTGGTCCTTGCAGTCAAAACTTTTACATCATGTTTTTTTTTTCAACTTTGCCCCTCATTCTTTAGCCATTTTGACACTTTTGGTCCTTGCAATCAAAATTATAACATTTTTTTGGAACCTTTTAATATTCAATGTTTGGCCACAAAACTTTAAGGAATTGAAAACTGTGGTCCCTTTTCTAAAAACTTGCTAATTCCAACCCATTTAATTCTTTAGCCATTTTGACACTTTTGGTCCTTACAGTCAAAACTTTTCCATTTTTTCATAAAAAACACAAAATAGTCTGGGGCAAAGCTCGAGTTTTTTCGCTAAAAGAGTCAACATCGAGTTAGGAATAGTGAAACTCACGTTTTTTTGACTGTTTTCATCATTGCACTTTTTGTGTCTGTCATTTTCGTCTTTTTGTATATTTTTTCTATATTGGTCATCATATTTAACTTTTTTTGTTTTTTTTCCTTCCCTCTATCTATCCGTCTCCGACTGTTTATCCGTATGAAAATAATCCAAAGTCAACTAAAAGAATCAACAACGACGCCTATTAATATATAAACAAAACGACACTCAAATCAGATGCACATAGCTCATACGGAGCATGGGCAACATATCTAGTTTATATTATAAATACACATATTTTAATGTTAAAAGTGGTTTGACTTTTGAGTAAGGGTGTCAATTTAACATGACCCTTAATATATTGTGGTTGGTAATCGTTTGTATCTCCACTTAATTGGCTTTTCTATAAGCAACCACCGCATAACAATCTTCGAGTAACCCTCTATCCCTATAAATGTCATCGGATTTTTCTATTGAAATAACTAGAACCTATTTGGCATTCCCAAGTACTTGATCATATACCAAGTTCCACTAAGACCTTTCAGATCACCACCAACCGATGTGAATTTTTAATTTACATCTCATATGATACTTTTAAGAAAATCTCCAACCTTACATTAGAATTTAAATATCACACTAAATTAATGTTAATTTACTCTAACCTAACACTAAACTTAAAATTAAATATAATGTTGGTGAATAATATAACACAAAACATAGTATTATACAAACACACACACACACACACACACATATATATATATATATATATATATATATATATATATATATATATATATATATGCATGCGTGTGTAACACTCGACGTTTTAACATAAGGTACACCTAAAATTTTCACTTTTACATTTATAAATCGCCTTAGTGTACACTTGTATTAATAATTTAGTACTAGACATGGTTTACGACTACTCAAGCCACCATTAAACTCAACAATGGATTTACGGTTACACTAACTACCATTTTCTCTAATAACAATAGTAATAGACTTACGACTACTAAAGCTACCATTTTCTCTATTAACAACAGTAATGGACTTATAACTACTCAGGCTACCATTAGAACGTCACATGACACTCATTATGTGAATTTCTGTACTCCTCAAGTATTACCATAATATAACTCATATACTCAAAGACCTCAACCCTATAATGTCATTAAGCTCATTTTACTCATTGGGATTCTTTTCTAAACACCCACTCACACACTTTCATATATAGATTCATATTTTTTTATGTTAGATATATAGTTGCGACTTATGATTGAAATTAATCAGACAAAAGTCAAAATCACAGTACAAAACTCTACCTAAATTGGTCAACACAAATCAAAAGTTTCGGCTTTGGCCATACGAAAATATAGTCCCCAAATCTCTATCTATGCTAAATCCTAGTAAGTGATAATATTATCAAGAGCAAGTTATAGTTTTGGTCATGGATATACTTGAATTTTGCAACTTCGGTCCCAATCAATTTTATTGGTAATTTTGGTTGTTATTTGAGGTTTTTGTAACATTTTTTTCTCCATCTTCAAAGTAAAATGACAAAATTAGTCGGTGAGTATAGTTGTTTGCAATTTTGGTTCCCAAAGTATAGTTATACTATTTGGAACGGGTACAAAAACGTTAAAATAACCTTAAATAAGGACCAAAATTACAAAAGAAATTTTTCGGACCAAAATTGCAAAAGAAATATTTTGGACCAAAATTGCAAAAATTTGACTATATTGTAGGACCAATTTACTTTGTTATTAATAAAAACCCATTCTAGTTATGTTAGTAGATCTCATTTTCCTTTCAACCATATAAATCTCATGTGTTCTTTATTTAACTGCCATGTGTATGTTAATCGTTTGCTGACAGGATTGGCGTACATCCGTGTCACTCATCAAAACGCAAGCCCGACGCTTCCGTCATGTATCTGACTTAGAAAAGCGATCTACTCATGTAGACCGATTAAGCAAAACCAAGGTTCTAGTCCTTTCCTAAACACTCTTTGGCATGCCTATATATAGATTCATATTTTTTTTTTATGTTAAATACATAGTGACTGTTAGGCTGGTGGGAATTATTCGGACATATAATTGGTTTAAAAAAGCGACACATTTAGGCGCTTAAAGCGCTAAGCGCCTCGCTGGATAAGATTAGCGCTTCATGAGTATGTAGGCGACACGATTCCATTACTCGCCGATTGTAACGTCCCAAAAATAAGACCAAAAAGTTTCATTTTAAAATTAATAAAATCAGTATTCCAGAAACATCATCATAAGAATCCAGATAAAACAAATGTGTCAAACATCACATCATATCAGAGTAAGTTAAGAAAATGCGGAACGAGGTGGTGCGTGCTCTGCAATCATCCCGAGCTCTTCTTTTTTTAAAAACAAAAGTATCTGAAACATAAACTGAAAACCGTAAGCACAAAGTTTAGTGAGCTCCCCAAAATACCACATACCAACATACATTTTACCATGGGCTACCCCATGGTCTTTTCCTTGGAATGTCATGGGCTACCCCCATGGTCTGACGTCCAAGTGCCATGGGCTACTCCCATGGTCTGACGTCCAAGTGCCATGAGCTACCCCCATGGTCTGACATCCAAGTGCCACGGGCTACCCTTGGGGTCTTCCATGCAAGTATCACAGAGACAACTAGCATTCCACATAATAAGTAATGGGCCGGGTGCCTTCGACCCAAGTCCAAATGTCCAAAGGCCCAATTTCCAACATAATAACTCAAAGCCCAACTATGGCCCAATTTTCCAAATTGGGCCCCAAAACCTTCTATGGGCCTAGCATCCAAAGAAGCCCAAAAGGTACCATCCAGAAGCCCAAAAAGAAGTCTAATGGCCCAACAAGGCCCAAATTAAGAAAACCCGACAATGGCCTAAACCTCAAAAGCCCAAAATGATCCTCTGGGGAGTATGCCCAACGTACTCAAGACGTACGCCCCGCGTACTCGACCACGATGCGCAATGTACAACTTCCTGATGCACGTTCCTCGCATTACGCTGAGCGTACCTCCTTGTACGCCCAACGCACTAGTCAGGAATCCAAAAACCCACATTTTGCTCTTAATGGGTTAAGACAAGATGTCCAAATTATAGATCTGATCCCTAGCCAAGGTCTTAACCAATAAAGTTTCCAACTTTGCTCACAAACACAACTTAATGAGACTCAACACTTAAAAATGAACTTAATAAGAGCTTTATACATACCAAAGGGCTTCTAGCCCAGCGGTATCAGGTGTTGCCCTTCCTCCTTGAGGCGAGGGTTCAAGTCTCGTCGGAGACATAGGTGAATTTAGGAGTAGTTTAGGATTATATTTTATTTGCCGTTCAAAAAAAAAAAGAGCTTTATACATGCATGGACCAAACTCTTCCATAAAGTTTTCATTTTCATGAACAAGGGACCTTAGTGGAGCTTAGATCTAACATCCACTACTTCTGGAGTAGATTAAAAGCTCACCTTTACATCAAGGGACTCAAAAATGCCAAAGAACTCCATAAAGTAGATCCAACCAAAAAGATCATCAAGGTTAAAGCTTTTTACCTTAGGAAGCTTGCAAATGAAAATATACTCCAAGATTTAGAAGCTCAAGCCACACCTCCAAAATGATTCTCTTTTTTTTCTTCTTCTTCTTCACCAAACAACCATCAAGCACATACCAAGCTCAAAATCACCAAATTGCACTTAGGGTTCGATTCTAGGGTTAAAAATGGGTGGAGGCTGAAGGAATTAAGGGTGCGTTTGGTTATGGAAAACTGTTTTTATTTTCTAAAGAAAATGTTTTCAGAAAATAGAGTTGAGTTTTTATTTTCAAATTTCAATGAAATTTTTAGAAAACACGTTTGGTTGAAACCGGTGGAGTTTTCATTTTCCATATTAGAAATTTAGAGAACTTTGGAAAACATAAAATTCACTTTTAAAATTACATGCAATTTGGAAAACAAAAAATTTTCGTTTTCTTGGAAAATTTTAGAAAACTCAACGAACCAAACGCGTTTTCGAAATTTCCGTTCTTCTTTGAAAAATTTTCTTGGAAAACTAGAAAATTTTCCACAACCAAACGCACCCTAAGGTTTGGTGAAGAGAAAATGAGCTTAAATAGGGTCCAAAGCCCTAAAATAGGGTTTGCATGAATCTGGAGTACGCCCCGCGTACTCCTCTGAAGATCGCGATCCTTCTCCTTTGTACGCCCAACGTACACCGTAGTACGCCAGACGTACTTACCTTCGCATCAGTACGCCCCGCGTACTAGGGTTTTGCCTTAAACCTTGCAACCTTCCGAAGGCCATAACTCCTTCGTTATAAGCCCGATTCCGACGATCCTTGTATCCACGAAGAGGTAACGAGATGCTCTAGACTTCTATCAGCTCATACTTCCTTTAAGAGTTCCCGAACAAAAATTCAATTTCCATAAATGCCCGAGCTGAAACTTTACCAAAATACCCCCTGGTTCCAAAACACAAACCGCACACCCGGATCATCTAAATTACGTCACCTACACCCTATTGGGAGACGATTCGGGACAGAGCGTTACACCGATAAAGCAGCGCTTTCATGATGCTTTGGCTGAGGCGAGAAGCGGTGCTTAAGCGCACTTAGTGAAAATCTTGGGCTTTTAATTAAGTTGGGCCAGGGTTTGTATACTTAATCAATCACGTTTAGAGTCAATTTAAGCACACGTAGGGTTAATTTAATTAAGCACGCTTACAGTCTTCAAGTATTCAAGTGGTCTTCACCTATTCTACTCCCGGTTGCATGTCAAGATCGAAACATCATAAAGACAGAAACATGAAAGTATTAAAGCAAGGTATGTGAATTGAAATTCTTAATTGTGACTAAATATCTTGATCTGCTTGCCGATTTTCATATTGACGGGGCTTTATTTCAAGCAACATGATATACACGATCATGCTATGTTCTTGGATTTGATTACATATTTTCCTCTTTAATTTTTGCTGTAATGTTTTTCTAAGTTAATTACTTGGTTTTAAAAAGCGTAAAGCGCCTCAAAGCGCTAAGGTTTCTTTTAGCTGAAGCGCTAAGCGCCAAGCAAAAGCGCTCACTTAGAGCACACGAAGTGCCCAAATTTAAGAAAAAAATTATAAAATTATCCAACTTCAGTTTATAGTGATATAATACCACATAAATACTTAAACATCCTCTAAAGTGTGGAACTAAGATAAAAACAAAAATATCTTCCTAATTCCACATCACTAAACCACAAAACAATATCAAAAGTGTGAAAAGTGGTTTATCAGGAAAGCACAAAACAATAAACAATATAAAAAATATGGAGTTATAAAATCTGCAAACTACTTTCTTTTGGTCAAGTTAATCAATTACTAAGCATATATGGCATAGTATACTAGTATTTCGTAAGGCGATCCATTACCACTAAAATAACATTGTACCCGTGTGAGTTAGGGAGTCCTTCTATGAAATCCATAAATATCTCATCCCAAACTTGAGCTGGTATTGGTAGGGGTTGTAGTAGACCTGCTGGGTGGGTAGATATCGCTTTCTGAGTTTGACAAACACCACATGCCTAACATATTCTGAACATATTTTCTCATGCCCACCCAAAACCATTCAGCTGTTATCCTTTGGTAAGTTCTAAGTTCACCCGCGTACCCGCCTATCATTGAATCATGGAACCCTTTCAATAACTTGGGAATTAATTCAGATTTTTGTGGAATGACCATCCAACCCTTGTACATCAGTCTTTCCCTATCAATCGTGTACCCCACGTGGTGTTTTCCTCTTCCTCTTAAATCTTTCATTGCTTGCTGAATGAAGGAATCCGCAACAATTTCTTTATCCAAGCCTTCTAACGGAACTGACTAGGAGGAATTAAGAGTGCCCAATTCTGTCGTTTGAGTGAATTCACGAGAGAGAGAGCATCCGCCACTTTGTTGGCAGCTCCTGGTTTGGTTTGTACTGTATTTCGAAGTCAAACCCCAACAACTTATACATCTATTTTTTGGTATTCGGCCCCTACTTCGCGTTGCTCCATCAAGTATTTTAGGCTGTGCTAATCCGTTCTAATTAAGAAGTGTCTTCCCATAAGGTAATGCCTCCATTTCTTTACCGCCGACACAATAACCATGAACTCTTTTTCATACACAGATTTCAATCGATTTTTTACTCCCAACACTCGGCTATAATATGCGATCAAATGGTTGTCTTGTAACAAAACAGCCCCAAGACCTGCCTCGGATGCGTTGAAACGCGTCAGTTTCAACATGCGTCAGTTTCAACCACAAACAACTTGGAGAAGTCAGGCATAACTAAGATGGGTGCATGAATTGGGGCGTTCTTAAGTGTGTTAAACGCATCAGTCGCGCTTGATTTGACCATCCAAAATAGTCTTTTCGCAACTAATCTCTCAAAGGAGCTGCAATGCTAGCATAACCTGTTATGAATTTTCTCTAATATCCCGCGAGCCCCAAGAACCTCTTAATTCACGTAAGATTTTAGGAGTAAGCCATATTTCCACAGCCTTCACCTTTTCTTGATCAACAACCACACCTTTTTTTGATATCATGTGTCCCAAATATGCGATCCATGATTTTCCCCATTCACATTTATTTGGATTTGCATGCAGCTCATGTTGATGCAATGTTGTTGATGTAATGTTTCCAGAATCACTTTGAGATGCCCAAGATGTTGCTTTTCATCACAACTATATATTAGGATGTCGTTGAAGAACACCAACTAATTTACGAAGGTGGGGACGAAAAACCTTGTTCATAACTAATTGAAAGGTGGCAGGGGCATTGGTGAGGCCGAAGGGCATGACCCTGAACTCATAATGCCCTTCATGTGTTCTAAAAACAGTTTTTGGAACATCCTCCAACTTCATTTTGATTTGGTGGTATTTGGACTTTAAATCCAGCTTGGAGAAGATTCTTGACCCATGTAATTCATCTATCAACGGTATTGGGAACTTGTCTTTTATCGTGGTCTTGTTGAGAGTTCCGTAATCTACATAGAACTGCCAAGAATTGTCTTTCTTTTTTACCCGTAATACGTGACTTGCAAATGGGCTTCAGGATGGCTGAATAATCCCAGAGGTTAGCATGTCATGTAACAGTTTTTCAATTTCCTCTTTCTAAGCTGTAAGGTCGAACTGAATGGGATCTGTGCCCTCTTTGAGTTTAATGGCATGTTGGTGGTAGACCTCCTTTCCATGAGAAAACAGTGGCATACTTTTGGAGTAAGGCTGCCATGAAGCTGGGATATTCTTTTGTCTTGGTTGTAGGTTGCTGACCTTCCAATTGATCAAAATGCACCAAATATCCCCCTCCTACTGAACCCAAGGTTCTAATCATGGTTTTTAGCGAGATTTTGGCCTGTCTAAGGAGGGATCTCCTATACAGTAACTCGATGTCCTTTTGTTTGTAACTTCATCACTTATGTCTTCCAGTTTGTAGTAACAGGACCTAACTTTTCCCGCCATTGAATCCCCATAATCACATCTGAATTTCCCAGGATAAGTGGTAAAAAGTCTTCTTGGATGTCCAACCCTTGTATGTGAAGCAAAAGTCCTTGGCATTTTCCCTTTCCATCCATTGATTTTCCTGTTCCCAGGGAGACCCTAAAGCCTGGTGTGGGTTGTTGAATGAGTGAATGAATCTGGTGAGTTGTTGAATGATTTTCCTGTTCCCAGGGAGACCCTAAAGGGGTAAAAAGTCTTCTTGGATGTCCAGCCTGATTAAGTGAGTGAATCTGGTGAGTTTTGGGGAGTCTCCTCGGTGTTTCCCGTTTGTATCTGTTCTTTGATCTCGTCTTCATCAATGAGTACACACTCAATTCCTTCTACTTACAACTATGCCCCGCACTCCATTTGTCATCACGACGATAACATAACCCCTTTTCCGTTTTGGTTTGCAGTTCCTTGTCAGTCAATCTTCTCACTTCACCTGATGACCGCCGTTTTTTATTGTGGCCTGTGTAAGAGCTCCGATTTGGGGCAGATGAGTTTTTCCGGGAAAATATGGTCGTTTTAATGGGGGTGATCGAGGGCGCTCCGGATAGGGTTCAGGTGGATGTGAGTCGCGTTTGATTTTCTGTTGATGGCGGTGTCCTCCAGTGTTGAGAACACAGTTTCTCTTTAGCCTTGATAGCTAAAAACATCGCCTAGTCCACAGATTTGGGCTCAAGCATTTGGACTTTCGATCGTATGTCATCTTGGAGCACATTTACAAACTGACCCATAGTTATGTCATCGGGTAGGTTGCTTAAAGGGGCTAACAATTCAATAAAGGATCGTTGATACTCAAGTACCGACTCAACTTAGTAAGGGATAACCATTGTTCGTAGATCGTACATGTGTTCACCGGATGAAACTGTCGGAGCAAAAGCGATTTCATCTCGCTCCACCGAGTGACTGGTCGTCGTTTTGTGTTTCTACTGGAACCAAAGGAGCGCATCTCCTTCCAAGGTCACCACCGCCGCCTCCACCTTGTCGAACTTGTAGAAATTGAAGAAACGTTCCGCTCTGAGTATCAACCCATTGGGGTTTTCCCCGTCAAATAACGACATGTCTAGCTTTCGGAATCGCTGTCCGGTTAATGTAACCATTTTTCTGCCTTCAGATTTCAAACGATCAACACCCGACAGCAGCAAACCTCCTTTCAATTGCTGCCTATCAGACATTCTTTCTGATTTTGCCCCTCCAAAACCAGTTGCCAACCCGCTGCTTCTGCTGTTCTCGCAGCCCTGCAGTCACAGGCTCCTCCCTCCTTCGAAAGTCAGACTCTCAAACCGGCCGCCCTAGGTCTTCAGGAGCCTTAGGCTCTGATACCAAATGTAGGTTTAAAACTGCAGGTCCTCCTTCAAACACAAGCAAAACAAGAACAGGGAAGAAAGAAACAAAACACGTAAAAGAGGAATTTGAGAATTTCCTTTGGCTGCAAGTTTTCGTTTATTCCAAGCTAAATTCTGAATTAAAATTTACCAAAACATAATCCCTATTTATACTAATCAATCAGTAATCATAGCTGAATCCTAAACAAACACAAAAACTTATTAAAAAGAATGTTTCCTAAAATACCCGTGGTACTAAATTCGTCCCAGAATTCTGAATTAATCGAACATCTTTCTGGGAGTGACCACTTCAAATAGTTCTTCCTGTTCAATCTGTATGCCTACTGAATCTGTTGTAAATGGTGTAGTGGACTTGAGATTCTGACATAATAAACTTTTCTAATACAAAGGTGCAAGTTTCTCATAAATACTATGAAATCCAATACACAGAAGTGCAGAAATCGACAAAGATTGATTGTATAGGAGCAGAGAGCGATGACAATAAAGAAGAAGCAAAAAGAAAACCTGAAGTGCTGAAATTGCCTAAAATTGTCAACAAATTCACCTGGGGGAATTAAGGCTGATCGGGGCCAATTTCTCATACCACATTGAGACAAAATAGGATAGTATTTTCTTATATCCCAAAATAAACAACTCAAATACATATTTATATACAACGACTCTTGAACTTTTTCCTATTCTTTTTCTATCTGGATCAAACTCTCAGCAAAATATATTGCATGCAGCTTTCTTGAATGTCTACCATGCTATATATCTTAAGGAGATAGTTGTTAGGATGTTAGAGGCTCTGTATATCTTCTCATGTATCGTCATTTTTTCACATGAGTTTGCACACTGCAGTAGACCAGCGAACTATGATCAGCTCTTCTAACCATATATATATGTTAAGGAGATAGTTTGTCCAAGATCTGTCACTAAATCATTTTGTTTTCACCTTGGCAGGAAAACCTGAAAGTAACCTTTTTAACCATTAGGGCAGCAATGCGCTATATGGATGGTACGATTCTTAAGCAACTATGCATATTTATTCTGTTGACTGTAGCATAAACTGAAGTGCACTTGACCTTGTAATTCTTTGTAGATTGATCTTAACCTTTTTATTTTATTTTTAAACTTTATGTGATCATCTATATAGCTTTTAAGCTCTTACTCTTGTTTTTTTTTCTCCATGTATAGCACAACAATTATCCTTGAATCCTAAGTCAACTGCGAATCCGTTTGATTTCATAAAAAATCCAGATAAACTTGCATCCATGGTTCATGATTCATCTATACCTCAGCAATCATCCTTGAATCCTATGTCAACTGCCAATCCCTCTGATTTCATGTTAAATCCAGATAAACTTGCATCCATAGTTCATAATTATGACATAAAGACCTTGCAAACCCTTGGAGGAGTTGATGCAATTGCAGAAATTGTAGATGTCTGGATGCATGAAGGAGTCGAATCAAGTGATTTATCTAGCAGACAAGATATATATGGCATCAACAAGTACAGCGAGAAGCCTTCCAAGAGTTTCTTAATGTTTGTATGGGAGGCCATTCATGATCCAACTCTTATTATCCTTATAGTATGTTCCGTTGTCTTAATAGGTATGGGACTTGCAACCAAAGGCTGGCTAGATGGGCTGGGAATTCTCCTGAGTATTTTATTAGTCGTCACCATTACGGCTGTGAGTGACTACTACATTCAATCCTTGCAATTTAAGGATGATAACAAGAAGAAGAAAAAGATTTCTTTTCAGGTCACTAGAGACGGATGTACACAAAAAGTAACCGATTATGAGTTGGTGGTTGGAGATGTTGTCCATTTATTCATTGGTGACCAAGTTCCAGCCGACGGGATATTCATATCAGGATTCAACTTTTTGATCGATGAGTCCAGCTTGACAGGTGAGAGTGATCCTGTCCACATCAGCGAGAAGAAGCCTTTTCTATTTGCAGGAACTATAGTGCAGGATGGCTCGGCTACAATGCTTGTCACAGCCGTGGGTGTGAAAACCGAATGGGGAAAATTGATGGAAACATTAAATAAAGGAGAAGACAAGATTACTCGTGTGTTGCAAGTCAAGGTGAAAGATGTTGCCACAATCATTGAAAAAATTGGATGGGTGTTTTCCGTGTTGACTTTTTTTGTGTTGACTGTGAGATTTCTTGTCGAAAAAGCAATGCAAAATGAGTTCTCAAGTTGGTCGTGTGATGATGCTATGTCTATGTTAGGTCACTTCACCACTGCAGTTACTATTATTGTTGCTACTGTGACGAAAGGAATACCTCTGGCGCTTACACTGAGCCTTGCCTTTGCAATGAACAAGTTAAGGAACGACAATGCACGTGTAACAAATCCATCTGCTTGTGAGGCTATGTGTTTTTGTACTTGCATATGCACGGATAAGACCAGGACTTTAACAACAAATCGTATGTTTGTTGATAAAATATTCTTATCTGGTGAAACAAAAGAAGCTAGAGACAATGGAGGTCGAGTTTTATCTTTGGGATTGTCAGACAGTGTGTCGGCCGTGCTCCTGCAAGGTATATTTAAATGTACGGGTTCCGAGGTGTTTGATGACGAAAACGGTAAAACTTCTATTTTGGGTACCCCGACAGAAACCGCAATATTACAATACGGGTTAGATCTCGGTGGTGATTTCAATGCCATTGATAGTGATATTAGGATGCTGAAAATAAATTCTTTCAATTCCACCCAGAAGAAAATGTCGGTGATTGTTTCTCTTCCTAGTGTTCGGACACGTGCGTTTTGCAAAGGTGCACCGGAAGTAGTGTTAGGATTATGCGACAAGATGATCGATGTTGGTGGAGAGATTGTTCCCATGTCTGAAGAGAATATAAACTTTATCACGGATGTTGTTGATGAATTCGTAGCCGATGGTTTGAGAACTCTTTGTTTGGCTTATTTGGATGTGGAAGGCAGCTTTGGTTGTAATGATGACATACCTGAGGGTGGCTATACATTAATTGCGGTATTTGGAATCAAAGATCCACTTAGACCGGGTGTTAAAGAGGCGGTTGAAACCTGTTTAGCTGCTGGAATTTCCGTCCACATGGTTACTGGTGATGATATCAGGAGAGCTGAAGTCATCGCAAAGCAATGTGGGATACTCACTGATGAGGGCTTAGCCATAGAAGGTTCAGATTTTCGAATCATTCCTAGATTAATTCAGGTAATGGGTAGCTCATCACCAACAGACAAACATGAATTCGTGAAGCATTTGAAAGACATGTCCGAAGTTGTTGCAGTTGCAGGCGAAGGCACGATTCGTGCTCCTGCTTTGCAAGAGTCGGACATCGGATTTGCCATGGGGATAGCAGGAACAAAGGTTTATTATATATACTCTTACTAGCTAACATCTCAAAACCATTCCTATTTATCGCAAATCTCAAAACCATTCATACCTACAGGTCACGAAAGGACAAGCTGATGTCATTCTGATGGATGATGATTTCACAACAATTGTGAAAGTAGCCAAATGGGGACGTGCTGTATATGTTAATGTTCAAAAGTTTGTACAGTTCCAGTTAACAGTGAATATCGTTGCTCTCATGATCAACTTAGTTTCCGCATGCATCACAGGTGAGTTGGTCTTTTTGGGAAACTAATCCGTAGGTTGTTCTTGTTCACTTATACTCTTAATTAAAAACCTCAGGGTCAGCACCACTTACAGCTGTCCAATTGCTTTGGGTCAACCTGATCATGTGCACTTTGAGTGCACTAGCATTGGCCACCGGGCCACCAAATGATGGTTTAATGAAACGGCCTCCTGTTAAAGGTACTGAAAGTTTCATCACCAAGACGATGTGGCGGAATATCATTAGTCAAAGTATTTACCAAATGGCTGTCCTGTTTGTTCTCAATTTTTCCGGGAAGCCAATCTTGAATCTCCATGGGCCGAATGCGACTGTGATCCTTAATACTTTCATTTTCAACACGTTTGTCTTCTGTCAGGTTACCCAACTTTAAAGATATCTATGTTTCTATGAGCTGTATGACATATATATATATATATATATATATATATATATATATATATATATATATATATATATCAAGGTTGTAAAAATCGTTTGACGGTAGCTCGACGGTCGACTGGTGTTAAGGGATTAATCGGTCTTGGCGGGGATTAATCGAGGATTAATCGGGGACCATAGATTATTAATAAAATATTAAAATTAATTAAATATTAATATATCTTAAGAAAAAACAAGTACATCAAAATTAGAAAATAAGAAAAATTGTAATTTGGAAATTTGGAAATACGAAAATATGAACATTTTGGTATAATATTTGAAATTTTGGAGTAAAAAAAGAAAATTGGTTTTTTGAATTTTTAAAATTTTTTTGACCTTTTTTTGACTTTTTTTTTTGACTTTTGTTGACCGATTAATCCCGCCAAGGCTGATTAATCCTGCCAAACCCGATTAATCCTAAATTTCCGATTAATGCCCTAATCCTCGACGGTTGGAGAACGCCAAGCGATTAATCCACGATTAATCGCCGATTAATCCCGATTTCTGCAACCGTGATATATATATATATATATATATATATATATATATATATATATATATATATATATATATATATATATATATATATATATATAATGAATGGTATCGGTTCCTTAATATATCTGCAGGTCTTCAATGATATAAACAGCCGTGAAATTGATGATATAAATGTTTTCCGAGGCATGTTCAGCAGTTGGATATTCATGTGTGTGATGATATCGATAGTTGTATGTCAAGTAACCATAGTTGAGTTTCTTGGGACTTTTGCAAGCACCGTGCCACTAGACTGGCAACTGTGGGTACTTAGCATTGTGGTCGGCTTGGTGAGCATGCCGATTTCAGTTGTTTTGAAGTGCATTTCTGCTGCCAAAGAACCATATCATGATGGCTATGAGATCCTCCCTGCTGGCCTAGAAAGTGTTTAAAGGAAACCTCAAGAGTAAATGCTATCTAGTCTTCCTTTCTTTCTTTTTCTTAAAAACTATTACGAATATCTCCAAGAACACAAAATAAAGCTTATACATGTATAGTCATTAGCTGTCATCTCACTGTATATATGCTGTCATATTAGTATTAATACTTTCCTGTAATAGCTCCTCAATTAGCTCCATTGCATGCATGTATTATTGGCTATAAAAGCCACTATAAACATTAATAATAAGTGTGCATCTTCAGTATCATCAATACATTTATATGGTATCAGAGCCAACCAAAGCACCCCTGAGCAACTCTCGTTCCTTCTTCTAAACCCTAAATCACTCATAAATCAATAATGGCTACAACCATTCAATTGACTGCAGCCACCCACTTTCCTATCAAACTCACATCTGTTAATTTTCCTGTTTGGCGCAAACAAGTGGAATCTACCCTCATCGGATTACAACTCGAAGCATTCATAGATGGCAGTCAAGAACCGCCAAAGAAACAAATTGAAGACAAAGATGGAAAGAAGACAAATCCAGAATACTTACCTTGGTTTCGACAAGACCAAATTTTGATCAGTGCACTCCTTGGAAGTTGCTTTCAATTAATTCAACCGCTCATCTCTTCTGCCAGCACTGCTCGAGAAGCATGGGTAAGACTAAATTCAAGCTATGCTAGCGCCTCAAGGTCACGTATTATTCCTTAAAATCTAAATTGGTGAAGAACCCCAAAGGAAATCGATCAATCACTGATTTTCTTCAAGATATGCAGTCAATTGCTGATGACCTAGCCTTAGCCCAAAACCCAATTTATGAGGAAGATCTCATGGGGCATATTCTGTCCCAATTAGGCGATGAATATGCCAATATTGTCGCAGACATCAAAGTAAGAGAAACCGCTCTCTCCTATTCTGAATTGTTTGAGAAGTTAATCGATTTTGAAAAAGGACTCAAAGAAACTTCACAAAATCCGATACCCTCCCTGATCACCGCCAACTATACTTCTCGACAACCAGGTCGCCAATCCTCATTGAGCCTCCCTCGTCGTAACCAAAAATTTAACTCCAATACCCAACAACGAGGCCCAAATCGTCCTCCATGGGCTAACTCTCAATCCAACAACAATCGCCAACCACCAAATCACAGCTCCACTTACTGCCATTATTGCAATATTTCGGGTCATCCAACAAAAGAATGCCACAAGCTATCCAGGTTCCTTCATGAAAACATCTCCATCATTGCCAACTCAACCCCATTCCCTGTTGCAAACGTGACCACCGCTGGCCCCACCCCATTGCAACCATGTCACTTTTGGCCCCTCCAATCTCCACTCTGTCTTAGAATACGGGGGGACCTGATGGAATTCAACTAGGAAACGGTACAACACTACCAATTTCACACATTGGCTCAACACACATAAATACACCATTTACACCTCTATCTTTATCTGGTATTTTGTGTGTTCCAAACTTAAAAAGAAACCTTATTTCTGTTGCTAAACTATGTAAAACTAACATGGTTTATGTTGAATTTTTTTCCTCTCATTTTATTGTGAAGGATCTTCGCACTGGGGCGTGTCTATTACGGGGGGGAGAACATTGATGATGTCTATCACACCACCATCTCATCCTTACGTCAACTAAACTTCATCACTACCAAAAAGTCTCTCGATTGGCACCACAAATTAGGCCATCCATCCATCAAAGTCTTCAAAACAATTGCTGCCGGTCTAGGTCTTAATTCTAAATTAATGTTGAACTCCATTGTTCTTTCTGTGCGGTTAATAAAAGTCACAAATTGCCCTTTGGGCCAAATTCTTTTGTTGCCACCAAACCTTTACAACTAATTTACTCAGATGTATGGGGTCCAGTTAAACAATCCATTGATCACTTCACTTATTATGTTATATTTGTTGACTTCTATTCCAAATATGTTTGTCTTTACCTAATGCAACACAAGTCTGATGTTGCTAAATTATTCCCTAAATTCAAAATCTTTGTTGAAAAATTCTTTAATCAGCACATTGTATACATTTTCACAGACAACGGGGGCGAGTACATCAGCTTACTCCCTTTCTTACGATCTCATGGAATATCCCACTACACAACCCCACCACATACGCTGAACAGAACGGGATAGCCGAAAGGTGTCATCGACACATAGTTGAAACGAGTCTGTCCTTGCTCCACTATGCCAAACTTCCACTGGAATACTGGTCCCATGCTTTTCAAACCGCAATCTACCTTATAAATCGTCTACCTACACCTACCCTTGCAAACAAAAGTTCCTATTAGCTTCTCTTTAATCAAACTCCATCCTACTCCAATCTAAATCCATTTGGCTGCCTTTGTTACCCATGGCTCAAACCATATACCACCTCCAAACTTCAACCTCGTTCCTCACCATGTCTATTTATTGGCTACTCCACCTCTAAATATGCATACAAATGTCTCGACCTTACCACCAACCGTCTCTATCCCTCTCGTCACGTGCAATTCATCGAAGACAGCTTCCCATTTCATGAGCATTCACACTCCTACTCTTTACCCACAGCTCATGAATTTCAACCCATTTCAACAATTACTTCCCCAATCTCAACCACCACATCCTCTACACCAATGGCTATCCTATCCCACCTCACCCATAAACATCCTCCATCCCAGATCCACCAATCTCTCCTATAAATCACCTCAATCACCACCTACCACCACCACACCTACTGACCAACACTCTACCCCTTCCCTAAATCACATCTATCCTAATCCACCTCCGCCCATACTTACCTACTCTCGCCGGCCACGCCACCCATCCTCTCCTTCCCCATCCACTCCCTCTCCTACGACAACATCTGAATCACTTCCACTCACACCAAATATATCCCCAGTTCCACCACCTCCCTTCTTCCTACAAAAAGAGGTCACAAACCCAACAAAAAATACTTCAACTTCAACTTTGTCAACACTACCACTCTTCACCCTATTCCTCCAACTATTGAACCCACCACTCCCAACCAAGCCATGAAAGACCCTACGTGACGTGCCGCCATGGATCACGATTTCAATGCACTCATGCAAAACAGAACTTAGGAGCTTGTCCCTCCCAACACTCAATAACCAATCGGTTGTAAATGGGTCTTCCATGTCAAACGAAACCCAGATGGTTCCATTCAAAAATACAAAGCCCATCTCGTTGCAAAGGGATTTCTTTAACAATTTGGAAAAGACTAATTTGAAACCTTCAGTCCTATTACTAAACCTGTCACCATTCGTACCATCCTCTCAATTGCTCTCTCCCAGAACTGGCAACTACGACAATTGGACGTCAATAATGCTTTCCTACATGACACTCTCCATGAACAAGTCTTCATGACTCAACCGCCTGGTTTTGTGCACCCTCAATTTCCAAATCACATTTGTAAGCTACAGAAATCTCTCTACGGGCTTAAACAAGAACCAAGAACATGGTACATGGAACTTACCCAATTTCTACTTAATTATGTTTTTCGTAAATCAATGGAGGATGCTTCCTTTTTCATCTACAATCATAATGGAATAACTTGTTATTTCATGGTCTATGTGGACGACATTGTCCTAACTGGAAACAATCCCTCTTTTCTCACTCACTTCACTAAAACTCTTGCCACTCGGTTCTCCATCAAAGAACTTGGACCTCTTCACCATTCCTAGGGATAGAGGTCATTCCAACTCCCAATGGCCTCTTCCTCTCCCAACATCGGCATATCTAAGACCTCCTAACTCAATTTTGCATGGATGATGCAAAAGATGTTGCTACCCCCTTAAATTCGTCAATTGTTCTTACACCCGTAGATGGCTCCCCAACCGTTGATCCAACACCTTACCGGAAACTTGTGGGCTCCTTACAATACCTCGCGTTTACTAGACCTTATGTGTCCTTTGCAGTTAATCTTCTCTCTCAATTTATGCATTCACCCACACAGACCCATTGACAAGCGTTAAAAAGAGTCCTTCGCTACCTTAAAGGCACCATTCATCATGGCCTATTTCTAAACAAAGGGTCTAATCTAGATCTTAAAGCCTTCTCAGATTCTGATTGGGGCGGTGTAACCAATGGTGGCCGATCTACGACAACATACATTATATACCTTGGATCCAACATCATCTCTTGGCGTTCAGCACGTCAAAAATCGGTCTCTCGTTCGTCAACCGAGGATGAATACAAGGCATTAGCTAATGTTGTTGCTGAAGTCACATGGGTTCAACATCTATTACTCGATCTTGGTCTAAAATCCACTACACCACCTACCTTGCTTTGTGACAACACTGGCGCCACGTATGTATGCGCTAATCCAGTATATCACTCCCGGATGAAGCATGTTGCCTTAGACTAGCATTCTGTGCGTGAACGAGTGCAAGACAGCTCGTTACGTGTTCTACATATCAACACCTCCGATCAACTTTTTGATGCTCTCACCAAGCCTTTGGGGCGCACGGTGTTTCTATCTCTTCGTTCCAAGAAGTCTCCGATGGATCCTCCATCTTGCGGGGGCGTATTACGAATATCTCCAAGAACACAAAATAAAGCTTATACATGTATAGTCTATAGCTTTCATCTCACTGTATATATGCTGCCATATTAGTATTAATACTTTCCTGTAATAGCTCCTCACTTAGCTCCATTCCATGTATGTATTATTGGCTATAAAAGCCACTGTAAAGATTAATAATAAGTGTGCATCTTCAGTATCATCAATACATTTATAAAAACCATACCTGCATTAGACATAATTCTCCTCCATATACTTTCATGCTTACGACACTATAATGGATCATAAAACAAAATGCATACTTTTATGATATCCAATGCATAAAGTATGTTGGTTTCTGGAAAACATACATGGACAAAAAAGTTTTAAAAATAAACTATCTTCCGTATCACACATTACCTATTCAAAAATCTTGAAAACTCCATTTCATGCGCCTTGACTTGTACATATCGAATATCAGGTTGTATCCCTAAACTTACTAAAATTCTAAAGCTGCAAAAGGGGACAAATCTATCATACATTACCTATTCAAACATCTTGAAAAACCCATTTCCTGCGCCTTGACTTGTACACATCGAATACTAAACCCATTTCATTCGTCTATACGACATTTTACAACTTTGAGTTATTGTAGCTAAGGTCACATCATACTATAGTAATTTAAAA